AATTCTGAATCACAAGTCGGTGATTTGTTCACTCAATAATCCTGGGGGAGGGACCAACTTGAGCGCTCATCCGCTGGTGAGGTCAGTGCTGAAAGCAATTGGAGTTCGGAGAGCGCAAAAGGCGAAACCGGTTAGAAAGGACATCTGGAACGTGGAGACTTTAACAAACTGGATGTCAAGTAATCCTCCAGATACTAATAGTATCTACGAAGTCTCTCGTTTTACGGCTCTCCAATTGTTACTCGCTTCAGGTAGGAGAGTTCATGACCTGACACTCCTCCAGATTCTCCCGGAAAATTGTGTCATTGGAAAGGATGAGATCATCTTTTGGCCAGAGTTCGGCTCAAAGACGGACAGCATCGACCACCGTCAATCGGGCTGGAAGCTCACCAGATCGCCAGATCCTATTTTTGACTTGATTGGTTGGATTGAATTACTTATTTCCTTGTCTGCGGAGAGACGTAAGGCTCGGGAAGACTTGAATCATCTATTCATTACGACGAGGGGGGTTGTAAAATCTGCGTCACGAGCTATTATTGCCGGGTGGCTTAGAAATATTTTCAAGGAAGCGGGTATCGTGGCGAGTCCAGGTTCTATCAGATCTGCGGTAGCATCGCATAACTATCAAAAAGAGATGGATTTGGACGAGCTCCTCAAGAGAGGAAACTGGAAAGGAGCAAATAATTTCTTTAAGCATTACTGCAAGTCGGTAGAGAGACCTAGTGTTCCAATTTCGAAGGGTTCTCTGACTGGGAGCTTCACACCAGTCTAGTACCGAATATGTTTCTTTATATTTTTTCATTCCATGTACTTTCTGTATGGAAAATAAAATGTTTATTCACAAAGTACATGAGGTCACAATACATTTTCAAGTGCCGGCAGACTATAGACATCTCTCCGAAGGGTCAAGCCGAAGGCACAGACATAAAATAGAACCGTTTTCCCCCCGAAGGGAAGAAAACGTATATTTTAGGTCTTGCCGAGGCTTGACCCGAGTAAGGCCTTGCCGCCAACGGGAGCATGAGGAATGGCTTTTACCTATTCCTCATGTTTCGGAGATAATACTGATCTGTGAATGACGCCATCCGTCACTAGCCGCACTTGAAACTCGGATCCAGGTTCCCCTATTCCCTCACAGATGGAGCCATTTTCTGACACTTTGGGCATTTTGCATGGTTAGGATACGCAAGGTAATCTCCGAAGGGTCAAGCCTCGGCAAGACCTAAAATATACGTTTTCTTCCCTTCGGGGGGAAAACGGTTCTATATTATCATATACCACAATTTACATGATTTATCCAAGATGAGCGAGTTATGGAACAGCATCGATTTAAGTATATTTAGCTAGTGGATTTGTGTTCGTTTAGATTTAAGATATATTATTTATGATTTATTTATAATTTTATAACACAACCTAGTGAATTAGTTAGACAATTCTATTGAATTCCTATCAGTTGTTGGTGGATTCTATTGAAATATTGAACAGAAAAAGTCAATAGAATTCAATTTTTCTATACAATTTATTCTATTAAGAGCATACGTCGGTGAAATTTAAGTATTCATTGGGCCTTGGGACCTATTGAATAGTTTGGGAGATATGACGGAATATGGGAATAATAAGGGAAAATCGTGGACCCGATCGATTTTGCCTCGGATAACCACGGAAAACTTCATTTTCTCCTGTTTTTACCTTCAAAATGCTCCTTGCGCAGTAGTTTTCATACGATTTTAGGTTTTTTTAATGTTCGTTTTTTAATAGATGCTGAAAAAATGAATTTTGAATTTCCTAAATTTTTCACGTCTCTAGAGTAGAGTAAAATTGAACGATTACAATGCTTCCACTCGGACGCAAAAACTTGAAAAATTTAAGCCGAGGAAATTCTATAGGAAATATGTCAATAAAATAAGTTGTGTAGAAAAATCTAATTCCATTGGCTCTGTCTATAGAATATTTTCTATTGGACATTTAAATAAAATCATTCAAAAACTAATAGGAAGTTCTGTAGAACCGCAATAGAATTCCCATTGTCTCGCGAATTCGCTAGGTTTCTCTATGAAATTTTTTCATACGTGCTCTTCATAAAAAAATCATGAATAATGGACACTTGACTTTTTAAAAAATATTGTAACTCAGAAATAAATTCATCAATTGGGATCACTTTAGGCACATCACAGAGAAAGAATTGCTCTCTTTCTTCCCAAAAAAATATTCCATTTAATCAACAATTCAACCCGTCATTAAGGATATTTGACCAGTGTCGGTAAATTGTCGGTAAATGTTTTTTTTTTCATGGTCAAGGAACATTCTGAAATTTTTTCGACTGCTAGCAGAACATATAAAACTAACTTTTCTAACGTTAAAAAAAATTAATCGCAATAGTCCCGGCAGAAATGACTAAATCAATTTTTCCTTATACACGGGCTCTTATGAAACTTATGTTCAAATTGATAATTCACCTACCAGAAGACTCTAAAAATAGAAATAAAAATAGAAGGTAGGGGAGGTTGGGATAAAATGGACACTTTTGACTTTTTTTAAAATATTAGTGACGGGTTGAAATGTTGATGAAATTTAATCTTTTTTTTTCAATACAAAGAATAATTCTTTCCCTTTGTGATGAGCCTAAACTGAGCTCTATTAATACATTTGTTTCTGAGTTATGAATAATTTTAAAAAAGTCTAAAGTGTCCATTTTACTCTACCTTCCCTTAATGTTTAAAATCATGCTGAATGCTGAATGCAGATGGCCAGAGAAAAATCTGAGGTACTCGGGCCAAAAGAGGAAATATTTGAATGATTCTATCCCATATAAGTGCATGTTAGCGCATGCATTTGGCGCATTTTGTCTATTTCATATCTAAATAATGAACATGCGTTGATGGATTGAAATTTGTATCAAAGTGAAGGGAATATCTTCATCTCTCACTTTAAAACAAATCAATTTCTTTCAACCACTTGCGATTTTGGATAAACATCCTTAACATTAAAAAAAAATTATAAGTGTCCATTTTACCCCACCCTCCCCAACTTACCGAATCATTGTACTGAAGGGGAATGGTCACATGCCCCTCTCTGTCCTGTCCGCTGGCCATTCTGATGAGTTTGAAACCCCTGAAACCGACGAAAAAAAATTAAAAAATGCTCCCACGACAGGTGACCCTTATTACCAGAAACCCCATATTACCAGAAACACCTCTGTGAAAGATTCGCAGGCTGTCGATCTGTCGATGTCACTTTATTTATTCAAAAATAATCCGAAGGAATAAACTGAGACATTCAAGAAATCCCTGCCCACTCGCAATCACCGGACACCCACCCGAGACTGAGTTTTATCCTCAAAAAACGACGAGAAAACCGCGAATTTGAACCAGCGCTCATTCGACAGGTGTCAAAACAGTCCAACAGGTGAGGCCCGACTGGAATCCCCATTACTCATCGACGAAACCTCGGTAATTCCTCCTTTTTAGCATCACCAACACTCCGATACCAGTAGATAAGACGAGGAAATTGTCTCTTCCCAGCGCGATTAACGTAAGGAGTGAGAAAAACGGGTGAACACACCTAGTACCGTTATCAGGTGCCTCAACCCAAGGTTCAGGTTAAGGTTGAGTGCATATAACGACTCATTGTCTCGGATAAACACAAAATATTGAGGGTTTACCTTTGCGAATCGACGATTGAGCGTCTTCGGGAGATGAAGAATGAAGGAGCGAGAATATCACTTGATGATCGAGACGTGAGTCATTATGGATTCGCCAGTGATGATGGGAAAAGGGAAATAATGCACTTCCCGGTTGCTCCGAACCGACTCGTTCGCGTCATCCACGATCTCCGTCTCTCGTCCTTGTTTAATGCGGTCTTGCTCTCGCGCACTCGAACTGGTTTGCGCGGGGAAGCATCGGTGGTTCGAAGGCGCCTCGGGTACATTTCGGGAATTTCCGGAGATGATTGGGTTTTTCGGGAATTTTGAGAATTGAACTTTCGCTACGTGTTTTAGGAGAAATTTGTTGAGGGGAATTTCGCATGCGGGGGCGGTTCGTGGAGGGCATTTGCGGGATTTCTGTTGTGGGAGAGAATGTGGGAGTGCCGTGTGAGTGGAACGGTTGCTAGGTGACGGGATGTGTAAACATTCAATTGGGTTTAATGATTATGGTATAGTCGGGCCAAAATTTCTTTTCTCTTTGGAAAAAATGGTTTTCCTTTGTTTTCAGTGACAAATCAACAATTTGAAAATAGAAACCATGGAAACTCGTTATCTGAAACTAAGTTCGTGTGAGAAACCAAGTTTTGGTTGGACTATACACGGAGAAAAATTCTACCAAAAATTAGTGCGCTATTCATTAACCAATAGGACCAAACCATGGTCACCAAAAAATTCGGTATCCAAGTATCTTTTACAGTTTGGAACAGACCACACTATACATTCAACCATTTTTAATAATGAAATTCGTGATTTAAATCGCATGAAAAAAATTGTTTAAAATCATGTATATTCAGCGTCATTAAAACTACATTTTGCACCGAACTATTATTTTTTTAAATGGTCATTGTTTATGAACAAATAATTGAAATTCTTTAAACTTTCAGAAACCTTATTTTTTTAGGCATGAAATCGATTTCTGCTAAAATTCTGAATATGAATAAATTTGTTACCATTCCAAACAAATGACTTTTATGGTGGAAAATTCATTGTTTATTAATTATTTATAGAAAATGCTCGTAATTTTCGGAAAGTGCACTTTTTGAATTATTTCATCAATCTTCCTCCAAAAGTAAGCTTTCTAATTTTTTCCGATTTTTAAAATTTTTTCTAACGGTTCAATATCGAAATTCAAATTTAGACCTGCAAAGTTTAAATAATTAAGCTCTGATGTTCGACTGCAAAAATAAAAAAGCATTTCACGGGAAAAAATGACCGAAGTATTTGGATATTCGTAAGGCAATCTCATAGAAAAATAGCGTAAGATCTTCCAAAATTAGGGTGCCACATTCCAGTTTTTCAGTTGACTATTCGAATCTTTTGGTGACCCCTGGTTGGTCCCACGGCTAAGTGGGTAGCACACTGATTTTTGAAGCGGCTCGCACGGAATTATCATGTATTTTTCTCTCCGTGTATGGAAGCGGAGCATGAGGAATTTTGTTAATGACAAATATAGATGGAGAGAGTTCGATTATTGTTTTAAATTTGCATCTCTGGGTGTGGGAAGTCGTGTATAAGGAATGCTAAACGTATAACATTAAATCTTAGTTAAGTATGGTGTCTGTACGTCATATGGACTTAAGCAAAAATGCATGACACTTTTCAAAATTGGAGAATTTCGAAACTACAACGGATAATGAGAATGAACCGGCGCGCAAAAAAGAACCGCAACCGAAAGATTGAAAAGGCGTATATGAAATTTAAAAAATCGAAGTGTACAGGATTCGATGTTTCATTTCATATACGTCTTTTGAATCTTTAAAAGGAATTTAATTAAACTCTACGCTGTGAAAAATTTTCGTCCAAATTTTTCACGCCAAATTCCAGAAATTTTCATTGTCATCAAGTTTCACTGAAATTTCAAGAAATCATGTAATTGAAAATTCAGAAAATTCAGGGAAAAACGCAGAAGTCATATAATTTTGTTTATCAATATTCATGTTTCGCTGAAAATTCAATCAAGTTGTGAAATTTCCATCTCACTCCCACTGAAAACTTATGAATTTCCGTGAATTCTATTTGAAACTTGAAATTTCATAACCATTTTTTCCTTAAATCCGATTCAATATCACTCTCATGAGATTTACTATAATATCTTCCATGAAATTTCAAAAAATTTCTACCAATGTTAAGAACAGAACATTGATCATTAGCGTTCTTTACCGGTGGAGGGGTGNGGGGGGGGGGGGGGGGGGGGGGGGGGGGGGGGGGGGGGGGGAATTTGACTGCGCATTGCAGTCGTTCGTTCTCTCGTTTTCTCAAATCAAAAAATGTGTTAATAATGTTTGATAAAACCTAATTTGAATATAAATTCAATAGAATTGTCTAGCGAATTCGTCAAGTTCTTCTATCAAATTTTTTCATACGTTTTTTTTTGGCAACGCACTGGAGACATTACGACCGAATTTTTTTTTACTGTGCGATGCCCATCGCCTAAAAAATCTGCTGTCAAAATCAGATAAAAAATGAAAGAAGTCAACAATATCCAATAATGGCTCAAAAAAACCATCAACGACGTATTCATTTCGCTCTGTCGATGCGCCAGAGTGGAACCGGTTGCTAAGTAACGAGCGATATAAACACTGCACCGCTGACATTAAATCCTCGACAGTGTTACACAGTAGGAAACACAACTAATTATGTTCGTAAGAAATCCCGGAAGATTAAAAATCGCAGGGAATTATCGCGTTAATCAACCGATAGAGAATTTCAAATTGAGGTAATTTTTCCTCGTTCCTCATGGAATATTTCCTCATCCGACTCAATACCCACGAGTCTCGACAATCGACAATTATCGCAGTGACTGCCAACGACTAAACGATAATATTAGAAGTCCCCGAGCTGATTTCTCCTGATTCACGGCCTATTATTACCGATTTCTATGAATAAAAATACTTGATACATTTTTCCGGGAAGAGTGGGTGTTCTCCAAACACAAACATTTAATTTTAAAATCCCCAAAACAGTGAGTTTACATTAATTAACTCCCCTGGGCCATGTGTTTCCGAATGTATGGTAGTCATCCACCGAAATCAGTTTATTTTGATCCCCCCTTTTCTGTTGTTACAGAGTGAAGATCGTGCAGCAGACGTCCCTGTTGGCGGAATTATTCGATTCCGAGTGTGAGACCAGGGACTCGAATTTTCTGGAAACCGAGGAGAGAACCTTCGGTTGGCAGGAGAAAGTCCTCAGTCCCTTTGAAGTCAATCTCTACAAGGAGGAGAGGAACTGCATCAAGGATATCCACAAGAAATATCGAGAAAGAATAATCAAAGATGAGATCGAAGGCTCGCGACTGTTCTCCTGCACGGAGGACGATTCCTACTATCGAAACACGACTCCAACAACTAAAGAAGGATATAAATCCTATCTATCCTCGAAAAATGAGACCGCTCTTCCAGCTATACGAAATCGAAAACCGTTCGCCGAACGATACAACAAGACGATCGTTGAGGCGACCCCATCCATGAACACCATAAGGACGAATCATTATTTGTACAGAGACAAGAAGACGATGTACATAGTGGCGGACCTGACCTCAAAGGACGAAGCCCTTGGGGCCTCTGAGGACTCTCAAACTCTTTTGTGCACGATAACGTTCGACAGAGCTGGAAAACTCCTCACTGTCGACCCTGACTTCAACAACGAGTGCTACACAATTGATGCCACTGGGATGAGCTACGACTTCTGGATCGAGCATGCCTCCGAAGGACAGACCGAGCATGAGAAGCAAATGCAGAGAGAACTGCTTCGTCACGTGAGTATCACAGTAAACCTAATCGCGATAAGATAGGGCCGAGTGGTGATAAGGCAAAAACAACGCATAATCGCGTTTGATGATGAAAATATATAATATGTCGCGAAACTCTGATTTTCTTCGAGGAATTTTATTAGTAATAATTGGTAGTTGAAGGCGATGGAGAACGGTGAATCATTGGTTTGTGGTATTTCTGGACAATTTTTTCTATGGAAAGATTTTTTATAGAAATGCCTCGAGATGAATTTTCCAAGTTTTTTCCACATTGTTTTTCCGTTCTTTGCATTTAAAAATCAAAAATATCTCACAATCAGTAGAATAAATTGTATGGAAAAATCGAAGTCTATTGATTTCTTCTATGAAATTTTTTTTATTGAACATTCTTATTGGGAAAAACACCGATAAGGTGCGGATTTTTTCAACAGAATCGACCAAAAACTAATAGAAATTTCAAACAAAATTCAGTACAATTTACTAAGATTTTTGTTACTATTAGTCGGTAGTTGTAGGCAATCGAAAACGGTGAATCATTGGTTTATGGGATTTCGATACCATTTTTTCTATTGAAACTTTTCTATAGGAATACTTGAATACCTTGAAGAATTTTCCAAATTTTTTCCTCTATTTTTCCATTCTTCTCATTTAACAATCAAATAAAAAACTCTGAAAATTTGAACCCAGGTATTTCTATAAAATATCTCACAATCAGTACAATAAGTTACATAGAAACATTAAATTCTGTGGATTTTTTCCATAAAATATTTTCGATTGAAAAAATATTTTTATTGGAAAAAACGCGCAGATAAGCTCCGGAATTTTGAATAGAATCGACCGAACACTAATAGAAAGTTCAAGCAAAATTCAATACAATTTTCTGAATATATGAATTATTTCTCGTTTTGGAAAACATAATCGTGCAAATTATGACAGCGAAGTGCATTTTTGCATCATGTTAAATTTATGCAATTATCTTAATTAATTAATAATTTACGGAGAAGTTCGCCAACAGGACGAACCACCCACCCTAAAATCAATTTGACATTCCCAAAAATGGCATATTTCACCTATCATGTGCTCCCCTTAATTTTTCCAAAACCACGATTAATGATTATTTATCAACAAAATTTCAATTACTTATACGTCTCTTCCATTCTAACCAATGACTCACGTGGAATTGAAACACTAGCTGAGACAATTCAATGATTAAAATCAATTATCACTCATCCACAGTTTAACTGAATGAATAAATTCAAGTTATGCCCAATAACTCACCCTACGTAGGAAATTTCCGAAATTTGTCTCATCATCTTCACATGAAACATGATTGCAATTTCAAGGGTTCACCACTTCCGGTCACTCTTAATGCCCTCAATTGATCAATCACCACGTCAACTTTCCATCACGATTTTAAAACAAAAAACTACGAATGTTGCTCCACCGGCAAGTAAATAAATTTCTAAACTGTTCGACAAGATGTAAAATTCAAACGTGTGACTAGCACACGAAGGAATGCCACTGATAAAGTGGCATCGCGCACATGTTAACTTCCTCACAAAGTACAAGACTTATACTTCCACTTGTCGTGGGTGTTCACTTCACCGCAGTGGTCCGTAGGTGACTGAAATCAGCTTTTCTTCCCACACTGAATTGAACTGAACGAGAGATATGGGAAAGTTAAGCGCGTGGCGCGCACGCCAATCGCGTGTCGTCTTATTTCAATTATTCCCCGTTGCATGATTCTTTGTGTACAGGAAGAAACAACACATAAATAACACTGATAATGTGCCATTAATATTGTTTCACCTTCTTTATGCGCGAATGCCTTGTGTATTGATTGTATAATTACGCAGGTGGGTATCACTGTCGTAGCGTTTGAAATATTTATGCGGGATTCCAGTGTCACCTTTTAGATGTCCCTCGACAATTGATTTTTCTTCATACTCGAAACAGTATTAGCACATGAAGTTGATTTATGGGTTGATTATGATAATACGAGCTGTATTGGAAATTCGAGAGAATTTATTCTTTTCAGAAATATGCAAATGTTTCATTAGCTTCTGTGGAATTTAAATTAACATTCTAGTAAAGGAACTATGTTTTTAATGAATGAATGCGTCCATTGATTTCTATCACTGAATAGTTCACTACTATATCGAACTGAAATAGTATTTTCGCCACTAGGCCGGAAGAACTTCGCCTTCGACTCTGGCGAACTCATATTCGCCAGAATTAGTTTTTTTCATCACACTGTCTGTGAAACGTCGTTTTACGGACACTTCGTGAAAAAAAATTAGGTTCGCCACTCGGCCGAAATAGTACATTACATGCCCGAGTCTTGGAAAACAGATCACCCTCCCCCACGTGCAAGATTGCTTTCCGAGCCGAAGGCGAGGATGGCAAGCACGTGGGGGAGGGTGATATGTTTTCCATGGCGAGGTGTGTATATTAATTTTCGTGTCACGGGACCTGAAAAACCCCATTTTGCGAACCCAATTTTCCAAATTGGCGTTTTGCAGGTTTTGTGGGTTTCCTGCCGGGCCTTCGGCTCGGCCTACAAAGCCACATTCGTCAGAAAATACTTTGGGGACCTTGTGATGAAAATAACTATTACACACTCATATCGAAATTGACTAATTTCGTTTAATTGAACCGCACAGTTTTGAATCCTACGGGTAAAAAGCTTTTCAGGAATGAATATCATAAATTTGCAACAACGAATACGATAAACCTGTGCAATGTTGCGTTTCAAATGGATGGTGAATATAGCAATGGGGGTTGTTCAACCACTTCAGTCTGCCACAGGAGCGTCTAAGAGGATTTTCATAGAGATGTAGTAAATCATAAGAGGCGAATTTTCTTACAGGAACTGCACGAGAAACTACTGTACAAAGAAGCAGAGATGTTTTCCGAAATCAACTTACCACCGCCTCACGTACTCCGGGTTTACCTGACGTTGGATATTACAAAAGCTCGGGGTTTCCCATACGATGCCCTATTTCTCACCTATTTAATTGATCTGCCTAAATATTGGAGCACGAGTGAGGGGGATAAACTGTCGGGGAGGACACAGCGGTGCAGAATGATGAATGGCACTGCTAATTTTAGCTTTGTTACCGAATTGACGCTTGACTTCGATTTGAACTGTTTGGATGATGAGAACGTCAGACCTGCATGGCCACAGGTGCTCATTGCTGCTGCGTCACTCGATAAGTGGACCAGGTAACGCAAATAAAAATTAATCTATTCCGAGTTTGAAATTCCGTTCTTCATCTCCGAAGAGACCATAACGAAGTCATAGTGTACACTGTACGATCGAGAATAAGCCAATTTAATTTCAAGACTTCGATGAGTGTCTTGAATCTAAGGGAGATTTTCATGATACACTGATAGAAAGGATTAGTTATCGTTAACGAATGGGTCTGGTTGGAGATGAAGGTCTATTCGGTCTCACCAAATGTTCATTGGTCAATATTATAGTTAAGAAATCAGTAGCGAAGTGGTCAAACGATTCAAGTCAATTTAGTCTTTCGGTGAGTTTTCCAAAAATATTTTCGAATTGAAGGGAGATAACGAAATTTGCATAATTGTTGGCTGAATAAACCTGAGAAAGGTTTCCAGCATAATTAAATAATAAAAAAAAATTATAATAACCTTGTTAGAAACGCATCGTAAATTTCCAGAATATTCCGGTCGATGACCTCGGCCAACTTCGAAAATCCCCGTGACCCTTCGGGTCAGTGGACGCAGGTCAGCGCGGCACCCGGTAGAGAAAAACATACAGTAGCATTCCGAAAATCAGCGAGTTCATATCGAGTAGTAGTTAGTAGTGTTACGGTATCGTTTCAGTAATGATATAGTCGAGTCAAGCGTTAATAGCATTCCAAATTTAATACTTTCGTTCAGTCCATCACCACATTAATCAGCTGACATTCAATTATTGTCAGTGGATCAACTTGATTAATATTGCAGACAATTAACAGTGAATTTAAGACTATCAACAGTGACAATTTATACCAAAGAGTGTACATAGTTCATTAACGACGTGGTTCAATCCCACGAAAAAACGGCGATTTTTTATAATCCATCTCAAAGTTAATTTTCCGGCATTTCCCTCCACATTTTCTCCCACATCCCCCCTAACTCCAGTTCCTCATCAAACAAACTTTTTTTGTAGAGCGAATTGAGTGCTACTAAAAAGATTATGAAAAAAATTTTGCTATCTCCCTTAGATTCCGAGATATTCATTGAAAACCGGTCAATAGTCAAAATTGACTTATACCGTTTTACCACTTCGTCACTGAATTATATACCATAGAAGAAAATGATGTGCAAACTGACCATTCGAAAGCATATTGCTAATTTATTAGCGAAAACAACTATACCATGTGAAGACAAGAGCAATTTCCTTTGTTTATTATTATTGACAACAAAAAACTATATTTTCAATATTTTCCATCTAACTTCTCCATTTTACCATTTCATTCAATGAAAAATTCAATACAATGCCCCAATCGTTTTATCTCGCCCCATCACTTTACTACTGACTACAATCTCGAAAAAAAAATGAAACATCTGTCACATTTTTCGTTCATTGACTTCAGATATAGAATCGAAGGATACGCAGCTCAACCCCTCCCCTCAGCCCCAGGAAGATATTCCTACGATTTAAAAACGTGGCGTCCAGTTGCTGGATTCGTAAACACATTGCGACGGTTCTTCACCGGAGGAACTGCGGAATTAGAAGACCTCACCTACTGCGGAATTCCCCAAGGTGAGAACGGTCCGATCGTCAATAAATCACAGTTGAAAGTGGTACCAGGTGGTTTCATCGACGTGGAGATGAATGTCGTCCAGCAGAGTCGCGATTTCTCCAAGAACCGAAGGATTTCCAGGGACGCACTAGACAGATTATCAGCCGGGACATTAATTAACACCGTCGATAATGTTCTCGAGCAGTTCAAAGCAGCCAGGGAACGCATGATTCGTGCAAGAGCCATGTGCTCGTAACTGCAGTGATTATCTCAATTCTCTTGAACTAATTTTGTAATTATTTTGTATTTCTTTTGTAAATAAAAAAAGTATTTGTAGAAAACGTGTAAATTCCAGTTACTCAACGAACGCTGTCATAACGGAGGTGATTTTATTTCAACAAAAATAACAATTTACATTGAATTGTTTTGTTTTTTTATCGATAATAGTATTATCGTGTATGCTACACTTGTAATTTTTTATTTACTGTAGGCATGGTATGCGCTCGCTCGCTATTAGTTATTTATTTTATCCATTTGTTTAATCAGTAGTGTTATTCATCCGTCAGAGCTGTCGTTTCCCAGCTTCTCCATTTATTCATCATCCAAATTTGTCTATTATACAATTCAATTGATTTACTTTTTTCCATTATTTCCAAGTGAGGGGACGAGTGCCTCGATATTATCTTATCTCAGGTTTATTTAATCAGTATTTATGCATTTTCTTTATTTATAATACAGCCTTTTTTCCACTGTTTCATGATTGAGAACTGTCTCAATCGTTTGTCCAGGCTTATTTATTAATTTTTTCATCAGAATAGGTACATTTGTTTACAATTACGTCTCTCTAATCTAGGTTCTTGTTCTTAATTTGCAGGCTTTTTCGTTTGTCTCGGTTGGAGCAATAGCAGTGATAAAATCGATTTTTTTTCATTTCTTATTCTATAAACCAGTTATTTGGGGTGATGGATGGGTTGCAATGACAGGACTTTTATTCAAGTTTTCTATGTGAAAAATAATTGTTTCGTTCGTGAAAGCATTTCAGATTTTCATCAAATTATTGGGTCAATTTAGTCGTGAAGCTGCAATACCGATTTTTTAAATAATTATCTCTGATTCGGGAGACAGCGGAATTTACCTGGAGATTAATTTTTTTCATAATTAAGAATATTAGGGCAAGATGTCGAAAATGCAACGAAAATTCTGAAAATAAATCAGGCTTTCGGTTTTTACATGTCAGTTTTTACAACCACAAAATTTAAAACGTGTAGTAAAAATTGTTGATGAGATAATGCAGTAGTAATTATTGGAATTCAACATCTTCTTTTATGAGAATAATTCAAAAATATTGTGTAGCATATGTAAATTAATTGATTGACAATTGTTATCAACAAATTGAGATTATTGAGATCTATTGTGTTGATGGAAAGCATTGTGCCCTTGGTGTCGTGCCAACAAAATTTGATCATCATTGCAAACCAAAAACTTGAGATATCATCGAATTTCATGCAGCTGAGTTTCCCGCCATAATACTCTTAAGGGGAACCATGATGAAATTTGAAAGTCTTCGGTTGATGAAAATCACTGTCAAGCGACTTTTAATGTATCATAGAGTGCCTAAAAAACTAAGAAAAGTTTCGTGCCCACCTCATTTTACCCCGTACGTCCGTCGAAAACCTAGTTTTTCACCTCTCGTAGTTTTTTTAATTTGAAGTGCTCCTCACACCACAATTTTCGTTCGATTTAAACTTCTTTTTTTCAAAACGGTCGTGAGATTTCATAGAATAAAACTAAATATTTTTTCATCATACTGTCCGTAAAACGTCGTTTTACGGCCACTTCGTATCAAAAAATCAAAAAATATTGTTTGACACATGTGAGACGAGAATTTTCAGTTCGTGTGATTGGCACCCTCGGCTTCGCCTCAGACTACTAACTCCATACTCGTGAAAATTCCGATCTCCCATGTGCCGAACAATATTTTTCAACAGTGATGTTACGTTCAGCGAGTGGCCGACCTGTGCCTTTTTCGGTTACTTGTAAACGTGTCGAAAAAGTTGGTTTCGGCCGAGTGACGTACAATTTTTTTTCGGCTTTGTGACGAAAATAACTATTTTCAATTATTTCAATTAGATCATACAAAAATTCAATTTTTTCGGTTTCGTCAGCTAAAGATTTTTGTCAACTTCAGGGGGGAGATTGGGGTAAAACGGACACTTTTGACTTTTTTTTAAATCTTAATGAGGGGTTGAAATGTTGATAAAATTGAATAATTTTTTTTTCAATACAAAGAACAATTCTTTCCCTGTGTGACGAACCTAAACTGAGCTCAATTGATCAACTTGTTTCTGAGTTACGAATAATTTTAAAAAAGTCGTGTCCGTTTTACCCCACCCGCCCCTATAATTTTTCCTCTGAAAACACCTTTTATATACTAATTTGATGTTTCAACTACTCAATAATGATTTTTATACCGTATGAAAAACGGAAAAAAATGAGTAAATTAAATTTTTCTGTAATTTAATTGAAATAATCGAAAAAATACCTAGTTCTATTCTATGGAATATAACGTACATTTTGAAAAAAAAAGTTTGAATCGGATGAAAATTGTAGTACGAGGATTTCAAAGCCAAAAACAGGAAATATGACGTGTTCACCTGACGTACAGAGTAAAAAGAGTTGGGTACAAAATTTTTCTCAGTTTTTTTAGATACCCCATGATATATCAAAAGTCGCTCGACAGTTATTTTCATCAACCGAGGACTTCAAAATTTCACTTGGGTTCCCCCTGAATTAAGAGCCATGAAAAAAAAGTCTTCAGGAATATGTTACAACAGTTCGATTCAGAGATGTTCAACAAGAAGTGATCTTCAACTAAAATTGACGCATCGTGTTTCATCACTTCACTAGGAGAGTGGGGTAAAATGGGTACTTTGCCATTTTTCCATGTTGATGATTCATTGAGTTGATGAGATAGGATAATCTTCCCTCGTGAGGTGCACATTTTAGAACTGAGCTCAAGTATTTTATCTGCTTCATAACAGAACATTTTTGCGAAAGCCAAGAATCTCCATCTTGCCCCACTAGCTAGATTTTTTCCGACCGAATACGGGGATTATCTCATTTCAATTATTTTTTCGATAATTGTTTTTATGAGTGAAATGACTTTTGTGGGCGTCGAATCCGGAAAATCGTGAAAACTCGTGAAAAAGTGAAATTTATTAAATACACGTATTTATAATTTTATCCATAATCCGATGTAAAATGAGGGCGGTTAATTACCAGTTGAAAAAGTTTGTAAATATCGAGACGCGTATTTCATTACAAAGTACTGAGTGAATTCGAGCATGAAGAAGAAGGGGTTTTCACGATACACATATTATTTATTCGATAATAATACATCTTCAAAGGCACCGGTCTCCTTGTGTTCGAATTCGAAATGATCCAGCGATTGACAGTAATCGCAGTTACAAAAGGAAATAAGCAAAGAGGTGAAAAAACGACAATTTGATTATTTAAAAAAATTATCTTTACATTTTTCCTCGCCTCCCAATTGGATCTGAAGCCGGAAATAATGATGATTTGAGACGCATGTCTCCCAGCAATTCAAGTTCACGTACAAATATAAAATTAGGCTGTATAAAAAAGTGAGTGTTTTGTTCATCCATTTGTTAAACTAATGTGAGTGCACATGGGCATGAAAAAATGTTTTTTTTCTCATCTGAAAAATAAAAGAGGAAAATGAAAAATTTCCAGTTAATTTAATGAGTCAAATAAAATTCACATTCATTCTTTCATTGATAATTCATGTTATTATTATTAATCTTTTCATAATTTGTTTTGTCTGTAATTTGTTGTTTTTCATTATTCATTTTCTTTATCATGAAGAGAACGTAGTCTTGAGAGAAGTTCCCTAGTCAGTTCGTGAATTATTTATTTTTCATTTTTTTTTTTTAATTTCTACCTTCTATAATGCTACCTAAATTTTTTTCATCTTATATACTAAAAACTTCTAGCCACTTATCATTATTAATATAATCTAGTAATCATATAATTACTTGCTCGTCTTAAAATGTAAATATTATGTACTATATACAACGCTTACATGTTACAAATTTATCAACCACTTTTACCAAAGAAAATGAAAATTAATTGAACAGAAAAGGGATGATTTTCATTTCATAGACGTTTTCATCACACAACAGTACGAGATCTCTCTCTTTCTGTATCCCAGAAGCGTGTGGCAATCGTTTGTTCATCCTTGGTTTTTTTTTCACCAAAGTCCCTCAAATGGGCTCTAAAAGACAGTATTAACTTTTTAGTATCTCACACTGGTACTCATCACAGACTCATTCAAAATAAAAACACGCACACCTTTAACGTCGTACCATTCGTTCATCGTTTTAACGATTATCCATTTATAATATATACAAAAGAAAAAATTATTACCATTCATTTTGCACAAAACACGACAATTCAAATACATCATTATCAACCGCCCACTGTTGGCCAATAATTCATCAATTCAAGTTGTCCATCGGGTAATTGCAAATAAGCGTCGATGCCATGCACTAGAAAGCCGGCATTTTGTTAATTTCATTAAATCTCCTATCCACATCAATGTTTATCCTCTCGTTGGACTTATCCACCGTACAATCTTTCTCATTACAAAACAAAAAATAAGGAATGACTCTGATTTTCAATAATTCACGCACTTGATCATTCCCAAAAAAAATTTCGACACAAAGTTATGAAAATTTTCATCGTAAAATTCAATAATAAAAAAAAGTGCAGAGTCGACTGGAATGACATCTCGATAAAAAATCATGTACAACGCTAAATTTCTAAAATCATAAATTTTCCTAAAGTCCTTTAGCATTCAAATTCACGTAAAAATGATCTTTATAAAAAAACGAAGTGAAGAGAAATTGCCTTCATGAACAATTCCCTCCAAAATAAGGAGACCCTTGAAAGATTGATAAAAAAAAATGTTCCAAGCAAGCCACTAGACAGCGAGACATCAGAGATGGGGATGACTCCAGATGTTCGATCAATCCTCATCGGACAGTGGTTCGTACTGAGCTGAGAGAAGTGGTGTTGGCTCCATCTGTTCGCTTTTGGTCACTGTTGTGGAGCCTGCAGTGGGTGGAGGAGGTGCTGGAGGTGGTCCTGTGTGAACTCCCAGTGCACTGAATGGGTAGAAGGTCGTTGGTGCTGGTGGTGGCTGTTGAGTCTGTGGATTTGGACTCTCGTCGATGACCATTTCACCTGAGGGGCTCTCAGCAGGCTTGTCATCCTTGTCAGCAGTGCCATTACCACTTCCTCTCTCCCCACTGCCAGTTGTTTTGTCGTCCTCGGAGGTCCTCATCACCTCGACAATTTTATTCTTCACGTAGTCCAGAGGGGACAGGTGGGGCTTGGGAGGCGTTGCTGATGTTGTCGTGGCTGTTGCAGACTCGTAAAATCGTCTCGCGTAGTGATTCTGGGTTGCCTCGGGTGGAGATACTGGCTCTACGCTGTGAAACTGCTTTGCAACAGATGTGGGTGGCTGCTGGGGCTGCGGAGGGGGCTGTGACTGCTGCTGTCCCTGGGACACACGGATTATCTGACGCTCGTCACCAGGCTTGCCAGGCTCAGAATCTGCCTCACGACGCTTCCATTGATCGTCTGCCAATGGATAACTAGAATCAGAGACATTGATATCAATGATGGGGCCAAGTTTTAAGGGAGGTAGTTCAGGAGTTTTTGTGGGAATGATAATTACCCTGGGTACGAACGGTAGGACGCGTGTGGTGGTCCATAATCCTTCGTGACGATGTGCTCGATGTGCTCTCCAAGGGTTATTGTTTTTCCATCCCTCGGGGGTTCACTGGGTGGTCCACTATTGGCTACGGAACTCTCAGCCGCTGGACTGTGAGCTACACCGTTGGGTTCGGCTTGAGTATCACGATGGAATCCCTGCAGGAGTGAAGATTGAATTGATATCATGTTTTTGGTGATTTTGGTGTCCTTTTTAATAAGGATATCGAAGTATTTTTACGGTTCACTGGGAGAAAAACGAACAAGTTCTCAAACTATTATTTGGTCTCGTTTGGGCCAAAAAACTCATTAGTTAAAAATTACAAAAAAATAATAATTGTTTGGTTCGAATTTGAAAGTCTCAAACGTGAATACTTTCTCTGCTTTCAACAACAACTATATATTTCGCTCAAGAGGCGGATGATTCATACAAGAATTCTCATTTTTATTGTTGTTTTTAGGGAATAAAAATGAGAATTCATGAAACCGATTTCTGCTAAAATTCTGAATATGAATAAATTTGTTACGATACCGAACAAATGATTTTTATGATGGAGAATTGATTATTTATAAAATATTTATAAGAAATGCTCGCAATTTTCAAAAATTGCCATTTTTCAATTATTTCATCAATCTTCCTCCAAAAGTAAACTTTCTAATTTTTCTTCAGATTTAAAAAATTTTTCCTAACGGTTCAATATCGAAATTCACACCTGCAAAGTTTAGATATCCTTCAAGTGAACATTTTAATGCAACTTCAATACCATGTTCAGTAATTTTGCAATAATTAAATATCAATAAAAACAAATGAGAACAGAAGAAAATCTTATCAATCAATAGGCTTTGCACCAATAAACGAATTCATAAAAAAATATTGACTCAAACAAACTTGTATTGTTCTCACCTGAAAAAGTCTATCGCCCGGCCTAGTAGGTTGATTATTGACAGCAGGAGCTCCACTAGTGCTCTTAAAGCTCTGATTGATCTGATGCGTGATAATCGCATCGATCAAACTGGCAGCAGTGAGTGTAGACGAATTGTCTCCAGACTGAGAATTCGAAGAGGCAGGACTAGGCCTCGACGAGGCTGGCGCTTGCTGAGGAGGAGGTTGTTGAGGTTGCTGAGGCCTGGAGGACTGTGAGAAACCACTGCCAAGTAGTCTCCCCGACTCCCTGTCAATGTGCTGATGCTGCTGATCCCTGTAGATCTGCGCCATGTGTCGCCTCTCAGCCTCCATCCTCTGTCCCAGAATGTGCTGCTGCATCTGCTGCTGCTCCTGCATCCTCTGCTGCTGATGAAGATGCGCCATTTCCCTCTCCCTGTGCACAGCCATTCTGTGCTCCTGCTTCTCCCTCATCTCCTTCTCCCTCTGGTGCACCGCAAGCTGCTCCCTCTGATGTTGAATCTCCTTCTCCCTCTGCTGTGCCATCCTGTGCTCCTGGTGTTCCTTCTCCCTCTGATGCGCAGCAATCTGCTCCCTCTGATGCTGAATCTCCTTCTCCCTCAGCCTCTCCTCCTTCTCCCTCTGCTGCATCATGTGCTCATGCTGCAATTGCTTCTCCCTATCTATCCTCTCCTGCTGCATATCCTTCTCCCTCTGATGATGCTGCACAGCTAATCTGTGCTCCAACTGCTGCAACTCCTTCTCCCTCTCCCTCTGCAATCTGTGCTCCTCCTTCTCCCGAATATGCGCCAAATCTCGTTCTCTGTCCCTCTGCTGCTGGTGTGCAGCGGCCATTCTCTCAGCATGCTGCATCGCCATCCTGTGCTCCTGAATCCTCAGCTCTTGCTCTCGATAAGCACGATTATTGTCCACGTACCTATCAGCCAGCAATCGGTCTGCCATTGTCTTGCCGAGACCCTCGTGACTACTCCCCGAGGAAGGATGTCCATGGGGATGAGGTACAGGTAAACTGGGTTGTTGAACAGCAACATCGACTAGACTCGAAAATGCCTCGAGTCCCGCAGGTGGTGGATGGTAATGGATTTGCTTCTGAGGATTGTGCCTCTGAATCACACCCTGTCGTGCCTGTGTGTGCGACTGAGGGGGCGCTGGGGGTGGTGGGGTACCCGTGTAGTAGAGAGTAGCAGGTGGGGGCTCGGTTTTACTTGAACTCTCGTTGCTAGCACTTGTGCCTCGACGCTGGTGCATCTGCTGGCTCGTGATGTAGTCGTTCATTATTATCTGGCGGGAGGACAGCTGCTGCTCCATCGTGTAGCTTGGTGGTGGTCTTGCTGAGTAGGAGTTGTAGTTGCTGTGGGTGACGACAACTCCCGGATTGGGACTCTGGGGTGGGGCATTGGTTGTCGCTGGGGAGTGTCTGATGGGACGATGGTAGTCGTACATCGGACGTTTCTCGACGGTGAACGGGTGGACTGGGGTGCCCTGCGTGATGGAGCCAGACTCCTTGGGGGCTGGGGGGTTGGCTGATGGCGCTGCTGTACCTGGTGGGGTCATCTGACGGAGGAGGCCCTCGTATCTGGCACCTGAGACTGGAGTCCCGTGGGTTATTGAACCACCTTTGTGGGGTGTGCCCATGTTCGCTAGCTTTGGGGAGAGCTTGGGGTGGGGGGGTGGGGGCACTGCGACTTTGTTCATCTTCGGGGTGATCGGCGCCTGGGGACGAGGGGATGAGGCGTATACGAGGGGGCTCTTTGCTCCTCGACCCTGCTCGTGAGCGTGCGGGTGGTAGTAAGCACCAGGTGGGGGCTCGGGACGATACATCGTCATCTGGGGGGCTTTGTGGGGAGGCTGGAGGGTGTGGTTGTAGTCTTGAGGCTGCGGCTGGGATTGGGGAGGGGGTGGCTGCTGACGCGGCTTCTTTATGCTGAGGTCGAGGGTGCCCTCCGTCTCTCGCAGGGCCTGCTGGACTTGCATCACTACGAGACCCTCCTTTGGGAGGAGGTCGGCTGACGGCGGCTGGTTCGGTGGGGGCACTGGGGGCATTGGTGTTATTGTCGCCTGCATTTGACCTGGGCAAGAAATTGTGGTTTTAGTTTTTTGGAGGGAGAACCATTGGCTTTCAGTCGGTAGATTGGTTTCATCATCTTTTTTTTGGTTGTGTTGAAGGCAAGGTATCTGGAATTTATGTAGGGCCTTTAGAAGGTCAAATGGATTATGTGGGAATTTTTTAAAACATTTTCTTGGCTTTGTTTTCAAGGTATAATATTAGACAATTACTTTTGAAATTTCAAGTGAGACATCTTGAAATTTTTAACAATTTACATGAAATTTTCATGTTTTGTGTTTGAGGATCATTTAATTTCTTAAATTTTCAATGGAATTTCTGTTTTTAAGCGCGATTCTTGAAAATTGTGAAAATTCAGGCACCTATTTAGTTAACAATTTTATAGTCAATTTTCATAATGAATTTTGAAATTCAAGCTGTCATTGATAATCAATAATCGCTTGAATGATTCAATTTTTCGGAATTTTCAAAATGAGTCAGAAATTACATGAATGATTTAATCTTAAGGATATCCAAGTATTTTTTACAGTTTGGCGCAGACCACACTATAAATTGGAAAAAAATCATGAGTATTCAGCATAATTCGTTGTTTGAAAATAAATAATTGAAACTGTTTAAAATTTCGGAAATCTTATTTTGTTAGGCATGAATTACGATTACGAAACAACTGATTTTTTACGATTCGAAACAACTGATTTTTTATGGTGGAAAATTCATAATTCATAAATTATTCATAACCAATTGTCATAATTTTCAAAAATTGCAATTTTTAAGAATAGAAATAAAAAGTTGACTCCAAGAGTAAACTTTTTATTTCTTTCAAATTTTTCAAATATTTTCTAACGGTTCAATATCGAGATTAAAATTCAGACCTGCAAAGTTTAAATAATAAAATCATTGTAAAATCTCCGGAAACTCAGGGTCAAATGGGACTCAAATGAAAGCTCTGATGTTCGACTACAAAAGTAGAAACGCATTTCACTGGAGAGAAAATAGCCAAAGTATTTGGATATCCTTAAATGGAATTGAAATTCACAACGTAGAGAATTCACTTGAAATCAATGCTTGAATTTAAAAAAACCAACAGTATATTTTATACTCAAAGTGATTCACGTATGGAAAAATTCAGTAGAAAAACTTACCGAATTCGCTAGAAAATTCTATTGGATTGCTCTAGAAATTCTATTACGATTCTATTAAAATTCTAGGGAATTCTCGTTAAAATTCTATGAGATATTTGATAGAAAGAAGTCAATAGATTTCGATTTTTCTGTATGAATTTTTCAGTATGAATTCTCTTGGAATTTTTTCTATAAGAATACTTGGGCATGAATTTTCCAAGTTTTTTTCACTCAATCCTGCAATGTAAACAAAACAAAATATAACGGTAAAATTTAGAAAATCCCTGCCCAATAGTTATAATAGAAAAAATCTCAAGATAAAAATTCAAACAGAAAAATCGAAATGCATTGACTTTTTCTTATCAAATATCTAAAAGAATGTGCGCAAAAAACAAATACAATTCTCACGAGAATTCTCTAGAATTTTAGCAGAATCTCCATTGAATTTCTAGAGAATTCCAAAAGAATTGTCTAGCGAATTTGTTAAGGTTTTCTATTAAATTTTTTAACACGTGTTTTTCCTACAGGTGCATAAAATTAGATCCTTACCAATTTGTTGAGGACTTGGTGCTGATCTGTGATGTGGTACAGAAACGACTGATAGTGTTGCCAAATTCGAGTCCCTATTGGACATGGCAGTAGAGGGTAAACTCGACGATGGCTTAAATTCGCGAACAAATGTGATATCGTTTCTGTGATCTGTCTTCAAAATACTTGATATCGTGGGTGTTACTGAACTCGTTGACGTACTATTGGGATTTCGTTTGAGCTGCATCTCAATAACATCGAACATGAGATCCTTGACAGTCAGTGGATTGGCATTGCTTATTGTCGGCGGTGAGTGTCCTGGGGGTGGTTGTTCGCGTTGCGTTGGTTGTTGCAACTGTGAGGCCGTGTGTGATTGTAATATCGTACTTGTACTTGTTGTTGTTGTTAATGGTGCTGTTGAATTTGCATTTTCCACATCTGCCCCACCCTGACCCTCGTCCGCCGTCTCCTGGAACAATTACCAATAGAAATATCTATCAAGGTAAGGCCGAAAATAAAAGACAAACTTCGGAAAAGAAAAAAATCATAAGATGTTCGCGAAAAAAACCGAAATCCTAATAAGCATTGGAATGAATTATTGGATGAATAATGGTTGTTGTGTTGTAATTTTAAATCAATAGATTAATGACATGAAAGTTCAAAATTAATCTTATTATTAACTCTTAACATAAAATAAATAATCAATATTGTGTTTTATTGTGTTGCGAAATTACCAAATTACACATTCGAAACTTTGGTATTAATTACAAGGGAAAATAAAAATATTTTATGGATATGATGAAGTTTCGATTTTAGGACTTGATGGTAAAATTGAGCAAGATGAGAATTTTATGCAGATTATTTCAAAAATATCTCGTAAATTAATGGGGTTAGCTACAAACAGGTACGAACTCCTTTCTCTTCAACTCGAAACCTACTAGTTTCAATGATAGGGTGAGCCAGACAAATTCTTCTCTACTGAAAATCAAACTGTCACAAATGTTTCAATGTGATAATTATTCAATAATGGATAGAGGTACCTATGCATGAGATATCTGATAATTCTGATCTTCTATGTTTTTGCGTTGATTCCTGACGCTATAAAATCGTGTTTCAATTTTATCTAAGACCAAATTAATGATTTTAAGAAATTTATGGGTGTGGAAGCCATTCTACTAAGAATAAAAAACTGGTTACACTATTATAGAAGGAAAATCCCTACAATTCGGTACGAAAACGAAATTATTTCAAGCAAAAAAGTTCTTAAATCAACAACTGTTGAGTTTTCTTTCATGACATCAATTGGGTTAAGGTATCAAGCAATAAACTTTGATTAAAGGGAGACGAGTATGATTTTTAAAATTCGGGGGCCATTCGAGTGAGATTTATCATACACTGAAAATCTCAAAACGAATAATTAGTGCAAAAAAATTAATTTTTTATTGTTCGTTCGCACCGTAGACACTTGAAGTGATAAAAATAGTCCAGGACTTCCAATTTTTGAATTAGAGGTTTTTTTCTTTCAAAAATGTTGACGAAAAGTATACAATAGCGATTACGAGTGAGTTTTATTTAATTTGACTCCTACACAGCTAATTTTTTTTTTTTATATAAAAAATTGCACCATCCATGTAAAATAGCCAGAAAAATGATCCTCGAAATATTTAAAATATATTTTTGATGCTTTCAGAAACATTTTTCTGACGATTTTACATGAATGGTGCAATTTGTTAGTCGAATTGAAGAAAACTAGCTAGCAATTGATATTGTACACATTTTTCCAACAATTTTGAAAATAAAAACCCATGTAGATAAGAAATTGGAGGCCCTGGACTATTTAAAACATTTTAAGCATCTAAGGGGCAAACGAACGATAAACAATTAATTTTTTTGCACTAATTATTCGTTTTAGACATATAATCTATCTTCAACGTATGAAAAATCTCACTCCAATAGCCCGAGACTTTTAAAACTCATAGTAGTCTCCCTTTAATTGAGCATTTGTAAACATAAGAAGATCAATTTCAAAAACAGAAAAAAGACCAATTCCAGAACGAGGATTTTTCAAAATGAGCGAAAATGTCACTTATTCCCAAGATTTTTTCCCCGTTAGATTTCAATATAACAGTTTTGAAATTCATAAATTTTTACTGAAAACTAAAAACTATTTCCCTCTGTGTAGAGTTGCATATCATTACTCTATCAAATTTATACATATATTCATTTGTTAGTCCCCGAACTTATTGCATTCCTTGATTTTCCCCCGGAGAAACTATTCACCCAATTCGTAAAAATAATTTGACCAGCATTTTCCTCCCAACTGATGAAATTCATTATGAAGAAAATTGATGGGGTTGAGATGTAACGATGCTTACCGTAGCGGAGCTATCGTAATCCTCTCGACTATTCGTCGACTGTCCACTAGCAGTCGTGGGCTGCTGTGGCCCAGGTGCAACAGGCGTCGGTGGGACAAGAGAAATCCTGATATCCGCTGTACTTTCTTGCTGAAATGCACCGACATTGATTGTTCCAGTGCCAGTCGATGGTCCCATTGAGCCAGGTGTACTGCTGGATATTGTGTTTGCAGGACTGCCCGCACTAGCAGTATCACTCGAGTCATGCACAGCCATTTCGTCACAGCTACTTGTACTACTACCACTCTCCTCCTCATCCGTCAAACACGGCCTTCTCTCCTCACCGAGGGACTGATAGTACTCAGCCACCACCTGATCCAGGCCCAATTTCTTACGATAAGTCAGGTAGTAATTCTTGCACTGGTGATTGGATTTACCAGGTATTTGTTCCGACACTTTTGGCCAATTTGTTCCATGCTCACGCAGGGCACGTCTCAGTTGTTTGAGCTCATCTTCTGTCCATTGTCGTGCTATTGATTCAGACGCTTCATCAGTGGCATCACCACCACCTGACAGGTGAGGCGCCAAACGACGGGATATTCGGTTGAAACAGGCTGAACAGCATTTTGTGGTATTGTTTGGTATTTCTAGGTGGAAATAGGGAATATTACGAATAATTATGATGATGATGGTGATGATGATAATAAGAGTAAATGGTAATACTGATGGTGGTGATATCGTGTGTAAACAAACTGGGATGAATTAAAAACAAGTTGATATCTCGATTTTTGGAGAAATTCGCGTAATTACAAAGTTTTTTTTTATGAAAAAACAGAAAAACCGGAATCTCTCGAAAACTTTGTGTGAGCGGGTATATGTGTTTTGATTGATTTAGATAAAAGGCATTGTAACGAATACTTTGAAAACAAAAAAATCGAAATGGGTCCAGTAGTTCTAAAGGTATTGGCGGAAAAGCGTTTAAGGGCATACGTCGGTGAAATTTAAATCTTCCCTGGGCAATGGGACCCATTGAAGAGTTTGTGAAATACGACGAAATGTGGGAACAACTGGGGAAAATCGCGGACCCGATCGATTTGGCCGACCTGATCGATTTTGATTATGAAATACAAAATTCATTTATTCATGATCTATTGCGAATAAAGTAAAACGGATACTTAACATGATTGTTGGGAGTATACGGCGCAAGGAGTATTTTGAAGGTAAAAACATCACATAAGAAAGGTAAAGGGTCACGAGGGAAAATAAACTATGTTAAATTTAAGGCCGCTTATTTTTCAAATTTTCGCACAAGCTGCCAGCCGAAACTTATCGTTATCTTTCAAAATTAAAACACATTAATCTCTACAAGATGATGATGTAGATCAATGTGCTTTGATTTTGAAAAATATTAATAATTTTGAGCAGGAAATTTGTATGAAAACATCGAAAAAACGGAGGCCTTCTGGTACAACTTAAGGCCCGGGTGTACTATCTTTCGTTATCTCGATGTTTTTTTTTCATCTTTCGTCATCTGAAATTGTCAATTAAGTCCTGCATCATGCAGAAGTTTTGAAAAATTATGAATGAATAATCAAAAAAAAGTAGAAAAAATTCTTAATTTTTTTAAAGAGCATTTTTAATTCAGTAATGAAGCGGTAAACCGGGTCAAGTCGATTTTGACTATTGGCCAGTTATTCACGAATATCTTAGAATCTAAAAGAAATAGAAAAATTATTGTCATGTTCTTTTTTATAGCCCTTACTTGGCTCTACAAAAAAGGTCGTGAGAAAAATTTTGCTTTCTCTCTTAGATTCCGAGACATTCATAAAAAACAGGCCAAAAGTCAAAATTGACTTAACCCGGTTTACCGCTTCGCTACTGAATTTATATTCAGAATAAGTTGAATAACAAGAAATTGAACAATGTATCTGATTTACGGTGATAAATGGCGGCCTGTCACCCAATATCATGCAGGGGGGAAGACTGATTTCGTAAATCTTTTCCCACACTCCACAGAGACATTTATTACGGAAAAGGCTCTTTGAAAAAAGTTGTAATATTTTGGAGAATTTTTGAATCACACTTTTATCACATAAAAATGGCAGATGATTACATACCACTGTTTTAAAAATTGAGATACCTAGCTATCACTTCCCATCAGGAGTTAGTGTTTTGTTATCCACCATGGAAAATGACAGTTAATAGATTATTCGCCATAGCGAATCAGATACTTGTAATTTCCACTTTTCTCAACTCATTCTGAATTTCAATTAAAAACACTCTTTGAAAAAGTTCAGAATTTTTTCCATTTTTTAAAATCATTCTATCATAATTTTTGGGAATTTCTACATGATGTACCACTCAATTGACAATTTGCCATTACGAAAGATGAAAAAAATCCAGATAACATTCGAAAGATAGTACACCCGGGCCTTAAATAAATAAATAATATCCTTTCCAATAGATGAATCCTTTCAACTTACGAAATTCTTGAATAACAGGATCCCGTATTTCCGGGGGTAATTCCATCCATTTAGGTGGCAGTGCCCTGAGTCTTTTAACTCTCGTCTTATTATTGGCATTATTGACATTTGGACAGCCTGGAAGTGGACAGGCAGTGTAACGACCACGTACAGCTTTACACCTGCATGTGTTGCATACACGTGCACCAGGCTGCACCTGATCCTCCCTAAGACCATATTGGGACGCCTGGCTGCGTGACAATGCACGCGACTGGTTGCCACCCTCGACGACATTTTGGCATATTGCACAGGCATGGGGACCCAGTTGCCTCCCACTCTCTGAAACATTGGAATAAAAAAAATTGAAATTGCTTTCGTCATAGCATAGTCAATTTGTTTTTGCTAATAAATAAACAATTTTCTTCCCAATTCAATTTCTATGACGATGTATTTTAAATTTAATTCATTGATTTTTTAATTAAAAATCATTGAAACTTTGCGAGTCTAAATTTGAATGTCGATATTGAACCGTTAGAAAATATTTTAAAAATCTGAAAAAAAATAGAAAATTTACTTTTGGGGGCAAATTAATGGAATAATTTAAGAATTGCAATGTGTGAAAATTGCGAACATTTTTCATAACTAAATCAATTTTCTACTATAAAAATCATTTGTTTAGAATCGTAACAAATTTAATATAATAATATCCAGAATTTTACCAGAAATAGATTTAGTGTCTAAAAAAAACAAGGTTGAAAAATTAATAATTCTGTGCAAAATGTGCTACATATTCATGAGTTTTATCAAATTTTTCCTCTGACCCTTAATCTGATCCTTGTAACCCAAATTTTCATTACCAGAAGTCGATTTGGATTTTAACAATATAGAAAGATATATTGAGACCCTTATTTTGACCCTTGTGACCCTTAGTTTCTGACCCAATGACCCTTATTTGGATCCTTAATCTTTGTGATCCTCAATCTGACCCGTGTGACCCTTATCTGGTCCTTAATCTCATCCTCATTATAACCCTCATGACCTTTATTTTGACCTCTGTGACCCTCAATTTTGGTGTTTTAATTTCGAGTACCAAATTTTCATCACCAGAAGTCAATTTGGATTTTTATAATATAGGGATAGAGAGTTTTGGGATCGACTGACGCGCGGGATATTCAAATAATTTCAACTCATGACAAAGTTCTTTTCGGCCTTGTGAGGAAAATAGCTATTTTGACTGGTGGGAGCTTTGTAGCGTTCACCGAAGGCGTGTGTGAACCTCCCAAGGGTCAAAGAACGCTTCTCACGAGTGTGGAATCCTATTTTATGCCACTCATGCCTGAAACCGGCTGGATTACACACTCGACGCTTCGCGTCTCGTGTCTAATTCAGCCGGTTTCAGGCTTCGTGACATAAAATTTTGTTCAGTACTTGTTAGGAAATTTCGTCCTTAACGTGTGCGGTTACATCACTCGCCTTCGGCTCATGTTGTAAACCCCACACACGTTAAAGACGATATTGCCCCACACGTGCTGAAATATACTATTTCACCACAATGTGTACAAAGCGAAGCATACGGAAAATTTCGCTTTACGCACAAGTGATGAAAAATAGCATATTCAAACTCCTGAGGCCAAAATTAGTTATTCTGACACAAAAAATTCGAAGTTTTGGATTTAAAGAATACAATGCTTCGATTTAAAAGCAAAAGCCCAAAATTAATGGGGGAGCAGTCATTCAATCAAAGTGTAAAAAAAATCCCCAAAAATCTGTATTCCAACGATTGAACCAGTTCATTTTATTCCCTCCTATTCCCATAAATGTCCACTGAGTGATTACAATATCCATAAAACACCAAATGAAAACAAAAGTAATATGAATCCCCTCGTGTGTCTATCGCACGAAAATCGCAATTTGACAAAGTGCCATATCCCCATATGCACAGGTACCATACACCTGTCGTGAATTGGCTTCTGCACTTTTAAATGCTATTACTATCCACCAACCACCACGCGTTTCCATTCCCTTTATAAAAATAACAGTTGTTTACGCATATATTGTTATGACGGATTCAACGGTGACGTCACGCGATTCGCCCAGCGGTGATAAAAATCAAATTGAGGTATGAAAAACACGGGAGACTTGCCTAACTCACTCGACGATCTCCAAACGCATCGCAGGTTTATGACACCAGACGTTTTTTTTATCGATGAGTATATTTAGGAAAATTATTCATCAATAAGTGTTCAGGAACATGCATGGAATAAAGATTCAATCAAGAATATAGATTGAGAATACGGAAATCGTTAATTTGAAAGTGAACATTATTGACTTAAGACCGAATTTTTTTTTCGTCCAGAAATCAACATTAATACATGCATAAATTTTCTCCATTCAAGGAAGAATATTATTTATTACATTAGATTTCTAGGAAAATGACTCAAGAATAATTTATTCTTGATTAAGAAAATTTAATTAATTAAATCGAATGTTTAATTTATCAGTTGAAATATTTAGTCGTGATCTGAAAAAAAATAGTCATCAATTGAACAAAGAACTGCAACGTTTCTAATTAAACAAGTCTGAAATTCTCGAGTATAATATTCTGGATGCCAAGATATTTTTTCTATAGTGTGTATTTATCAATAAAATCAAAAAATATTGACAGTAACTCTCTCGAGGATCTCCAAACGCAGCGTAGGTTTGTCACCATACGTTTGTTTTTATCGATGAACATAATTTATAGAGTCCCATTGATGAAGAACAAACTATGTATATTTGGGAAAATTATAAGTCATTATGTGTTGAGGATCATGCATGGAATAAAAATTTAATCAAGAATATAGGTTGAGAATACGGAAATCGTTTATTCGAAAGTGAATATTATTGATTTAAGGTCCGGGTGGATTATCTTTTGAGCGTGATCTTGATGATTTTGTTTCATTTTCATAATCTGAAATGATCTCCAATTGCTATTTAGTTTTACATAGCCCTGGAGTCTCCAAAAATTATGATTGTACAACCAAAAAAACGTTGAAAAAAAGCTGACCATTTTCAAAGAGTGATTTTGAATAACTAGATCTGTGCGCGCGCTTATCTTTTTGTTGTGAAAATGAAGAAATCTAATTTATTAAACTTCATATACTCATAGATGTTTTATAAATATTTATAATGACTTATAGAGAATTAAGAGAATGAAGAGTGAAGCATCAATGAATGTTCTGACGCAGAAGAAGTTTTTCTTTTTATCTTTTGAAAAGATTAAATTCACGATTCCCGGCGGAATAAACTTTACAATTTCTACAGAATTTTAATATTTACTTAAATCGCTTTATTACGGATGTTCAGACAATTTGGTAAATCCTTCGTTCCGTTTTAAAAACGACTGAATTTTTCCCGTCATTTGTCACCGTCATTACTATCCAAAATCTTTTCTTCGAGTACGATTTTATTACGGTCAAATACTCTTCTATCCGAACATTTTATTACGGTCGATATTTTCCCGAATTTTAATCTTCGCAAATCCTCACTAATCCCTCCACTCAAAACAGTTGTCACATTTGAGTTGGTTTATAACTGCAAACACAAAGAACCTTTTAGTTTTATGCCCTCAGCGCTCCCTAATGACTCGGTTTCTCCAGTCGTTATTAATTCCTTGAATTTTCCCGAACCCCAATTCTCGTTATCCACGCGGACTCTATTATACCCCAACGCATTACTTGGGCCCAAATCACCTAACCAATAGGAACGTCGCATTGGGATCCCCGAAAAACTTAGACTACCGTGCCAATCTGAACGATTTGCCAAAATGTCTTTCTCCACGGTCCGCATTCTTTCATATAAACCCTAACATTTTCACATTTCAACCAGTTTCCTCTCGTAAATAATTTTCGTCCTTATCGGTTCAAATAATAACGAATTACGCCGCGTTTCGGTTACATTTGACATTCATTTTTCTTTACTGTTTGATATCCTTTTTTAACTTTCAAATATTTCATTATTAAAAATATTATCCTCTAAACAAATGTACAAGTGTAATAAATAAAGTGTTGATTATTCAATAAACAATTTAAATAAAATTAAATAAAAAAAGACATTTTTCAATCACCTCCTCAGTATCTTGATACTGTGCGAGTGAACAATGAATAATTTTCAATCTTCGATTAATTCTTTTTTTTTTACTTTTTAAAATAATCTGATTAAAATCTGTAATTGATTTCCTAGAAAGCTGAAAAAATTTCTTGAATTTTTCGGAAAATTTCACAGTTTTCCAGATAACTGTAGATCACAGATTTTTCTCAAATTATTTGAGAAACCGAAGAATTTTCGTGAATTTTGTAGAGTTTAGAATTATATATATGAAAATCTGAGAAGCAAGAATTGATCATTTTGGCGTGTGATAAATATGAAAAAATTAAAATTTAGGAAGTGAAGAATAATTTGTGAGTTAAAAAAACTTAGAAATACCATGTTTTTTTTCTCATGATCAACAATTAAGCAATTTAGATATGTTTTGATATAAAGATCAACTTCACACATGAAAAAATGAAAAATATGACGCAGAACAAATTTTTGGCATTTGAAGAATTTGAAAATACCGGGGATTTTTTCAGCGCCTATTTCACGTGACTCATTGACCAACCAGAATTGAAGATTAGCGGTCAGGCAGTTTCGGGATATTTCGATATAAGACAACTTCACGTTTCTTTCATCTTTAGTAAAAAAAAAAATAGGATATCGGAAAACAAACCCAATAGGAAAGAAATTGCAAATTAATAATTTGATGTATCTAATGGCTGTTGAATCGTCAGTTGTCACTATAGTCAATGGCTACCAGATCATTAGTTACCCTGATAAATTATCCATTCATTATTTCCTCTCTATCGGATTTATTTCTTAATCTCTATTAAAAACGCTCTTTGAAAATGTTCAATTTTTTTTTTGCTTGCACAATCATAATTTTTAGGAACTCCTACGTGATGAAAAATCCAATAGAAATTATGATATATTTTACACTATGAAGATGGAAAAACAATCGAAATAACGTTCGGAAGATAATCCATCAGGGCCTTAAGATAGAATCTTCATGTCATCCAGGAATCAATATTAATACATGAATAAATCTTTTGTATTCAAGGAAGAATATTATTTATTCCATGAAATTTCTATGAAAATGAAGCCTCAAGAATAATTTATTCTTGATTAGAAATATTGTAATTAACTCGAATGTTCAACTTATCGATCCCCTTGCTTTCCGCTGGCATAAATAAATAAAGACCTTTCCTTAAATTCATCATCTATCAGTTGAAATAGTAATTCCTGATCTCTAAAAAATAGTCATC